TTTATTAGCAATGATAAAAAACAGGCTGTGTTATAAAATACTGTAAATAAAGATAGTAGTATTAGAAATAAAACTACTTTTTATAAGCGAAAGCAAAGCGTGATTAACTTGACAGCATATAATACAACAATCAAGCAACAATACTGAGCATAATGGACCGAATCAATAGGGGACAATAACGGCAAGCATTTTTCTGGTGCCTTTTGCAAGATATTGAATATTGTGGCGGAGGAAAAGCAACACGAGCAACTTAGTTACTTGGTTTGAGTACGGCACCCCTCAAAATCGGAACAGTATAGTACCAAATAAGGTGTTACAGTACAAAATACCTACTTCCTAGTCATTTATGTTCTACAAACATTTATATTACTACAAAATACTTTCTTCCTAGTCATTTATATGTCCATAAAGTGGGTCATGCGCATAATTAAATTGAAAAACTCACAAGAATAGCTGATTTTTATAGTCCCCTCGGACTAATAATTACCCTAAAACAAATTAATGTAAAAAAGTTCTTATCATTATTAATAGGTTATTCAAAAAAAATCCACAAGACTTCAAGGACTATTGTTTAACAGCAAAGTTATTTAACTACAAGTTAATTCCTTTTTGTAACATTGCTGTGCTAAAATTATCTACCCTATATTGGAATGAACCTATGACTTGAGCTTATGTTAAATTTAAATTTAATGAAAAAACCTAACAGAAAAAATTCCGCCACCAGCCTATCAACTTCTAGAGTTTTGAATGTTAAACCAAAAATTTAAACTTGCACAATTTAAGGCTGTATTTTCTTTTGTGCTTTTCCAGGATCGAGATTACTAACCAGCTTTACTTATAAAATGATAAGATGTGATGAAAACCTTTTAAGCCATAATGTAATGCTTAATAAATATAATATTACGGAATAATCTAGTTAGATAATATGGTAATTACCGTTTATTATGCTATTATTTCAATTACAAAATTTAAAAGTAGTTAACTACTTCAACCATAAAGTTTAAAGTAGCTAAAACGTTTTTAACTATGATACTAAAAATAAATTTATCATGGGTGAAAACTCATTTTATCATGGGTGAAAAATATTATCAATTTATTCTAATAAATTTGTATAGTGGGAACATAACAATTTTTGACATCGATTTACTGAAAACAACTCACGGATCAGTTAGAATTTTCTCAAACCAACGCGACGATTTGTCAATACGTTTAATCTGTTGCATTTGAATCAGGAACAAACTTGTATGAGTTCCTTATTCATATTTAAAAAAAAAGTTTGTTTATGTCTATGTCGGATAAAAATATATTGGTATTGTCAACAAACATGATGCTCATAACAAATTTTAACGACTTCTTCACAAATAGTTAACAAATAAAATAATTTAACAGAAGAGCTAATCAATTCTGACTATGTGAATACCTTCAAGAACAAGTTTGATCGTTTCAAAAATAGAAACAAAATAAAAATATAAAATATAAACAATGAAAAAAAAAAAACTTTTACAAATGCTGTCAAATTTTTAACATCTTCCGGTGTTAGATTCACCACATTACAATGTATGTGTACAGCAAAAAAATTATTATATAAGATCCGAAGCTTTATTTTAATCATCACTATATACTAAAATAAGAAGTGGACCAGTAATAGAACCTTGTGTAACTACACATTTTATTTTAATTAATGTTTTATCTTTAAGACTAAAAGAAAGCAGTCCATCCCTATCCACTGTGAAGCAAAAAGCTCAAAAAGTGGCCATAAATGGGTTTTTTTAATGCACCATTCTCATCAATTTTTTTACAATTTATTAGAAAACATTTCAAATGATGAGAAAAAAATATTTTTTTGATTTTCTCATTTTAAGTATCCTACTGAGAGAGCTATTTTTCCTACCTTGTAGAAAGTAAAAAAAGTTCGCTAAAATTTGTGCAAAAAAATAATTTTTGCTTTTTTTTATACTAGTTTGAATGTTTTATTTAATTTTTTTAATCTTTTACAACAGATAAAAGAATGCCTTATTTAAGCATTCTTTTATCTTTTTTAAAAGCAAAAGGCGTAAAATTTTGAAGATTCCTTTTGCCAATCAAGTAACAAAAATATCAGGTAAAAATATAAATTTTCTGATAAAATTTGTTTTTTATAAAATAATATCTCAAAATTTCCGCAGAGTCCCACCATAATATGAATTTCCAATCCTTGCGGATGTTGTCATGGGTAAACCAAAAAAAAAAACAGCTGCCTCAAAATGCCCGAAATAGATTTATGGACATAAGTGTAAAAAATATAAATCAGTGTAAAATATATTCCCCCTTCCTCCCTAAACGAGAGGGTTGTATACTTTACGTGGTCATTACTTCTAAACGCAGCATAACTTTTTAATGAAATTTGAATTCTATTGATAAAGTTAAATATCATTTTAAGTTATCAAAATAATTATGTTTAAAATACTGTTCTCCCCCCCGAAGGGTTAGGGGGATGAGGGTTATTTGGGTTCTTCTTGTTTCCAAGCCCCAATTACTGTAATATTTTGTACAAATACTATTTTTGATTTCATTTTACACTTATCCCAAGTGTAGAATGAAATCAAAAAACTGGATACTAAAAAGCACCAGTCCTGGTCTCCAGAAGATAAATTATCAGTAAAATCTCGAAAAAAAGAAATCAAAAGAAATTTTAGAGAGGAGTTAAGCTTAGTGGTTGTTCCTAAGCAGGGATTTGAAAATAAAAATATAGGAAATACTGCAGAGAGGGCATTTCTTGCGGTAGAATCTTTCACCGAAATAAAAGGTAATTTGGACATCATTTTTAGATTAAAAAACATATTAAATGCCGTTTACAGTAAATTCCACTTGAACTTGGATCATTTTAAAGCATACTGATAAAACTTCAGAGCTGATAGTTGAAACCTATCCTTGGTACATTATGCTACCTATACTTTACAAGATTCTGGAGCATGGATTTTTAATAACTGAGCATTTAGAGCCTATTCTGAGGAAGCATTGGATGCACAAAATAAGGCCATGAGAAATGCAAGACTCAATCACACATACAAAATATCTTAAATTAATGTGATGCTGAATAAATTTCATTATCTACTAATAAGAAGTGATCCTGTGATCTCTTCAATTGCTTTCGGAAACCTAAGACATTTGCTGGTCCTAACTTTAATCCTTATTTACAGGACCTGCTCAGAAGAAATGAATAGTTATTTTTTCCTTAACAAATGTTACTTTTTAAAATTTTAACCTTTTCTTGTAAAAATTCACCTACCAGTATATAAAAATCAGCGGGATTACATATTAATGCATAAAAAATAAGGTAAATATTTTTTTCACTAAGCATATATTTTTGTAATAATTTCTAGACTCTGAAAATTGAAAAAATGTTTACCAAAAAAATTAAAAGAGGGAGAAGGAGACTAGGGATCCATTCACCACATGACAATTTTGAAATTTGAAAACCAATTATTTATGTTTATTGCTGACTTTGGACAACTATTTAATAAAAAATGTTCATTATTTTACAAAATATAAGTTTTGGCTGTTTTTCGGTCATTTCGTTTCACTGTGTCATGGTAGACAAATTGCTTCCTATATGAAAAGTAGCTTTTGTACTTTTTTTATCAATTTACCTTTTACTTCTTATAATTCAAGTAAAATGTTGTGATTAAGTAAGTCAAAAAACTTTTGATAAATTGATAAAAACGCCAAGTATATATTGTGATTTACCATTACCATACCAAGTGTGATTTACCATACCAAGAATTTGAGGCGCCTCGTGTAAACTGAATAATGGCTTATTTAGTTGAGTTATTTTTTTGTTTTTAACAAACATTGGTTTTTATATAACAAATTATAGGTCATCAGGTAGTTGTATGTTCATAAATATTTTTTTCTAAAATTAGAGAACGTAGAGAGAACAGAAATAAAGGTAGAGAGAACAGAAATAAAGCTTTGTGAATCGGGATAATTTTGGCGGTTTTTAATTGATCAGGAAAAACCTCTTGCTGTATAAATGCTTTGAAAACTTTAAAGAGAGCATCTTTCTAGTTTTCATGGTAATCTATATTATGTTTCCGTTTATTCCGCACCGCGCCTTGTCTTTGTTTAGAGATTTGAAACATTTCATTATAAATCTAGCAAGAAACCTTAAAAAAGTGAATTATAGATAGATTTTAAAAAAATCATGAAAGGAAATATCAGTAGAAGGAATCCTATTTGCAAGTTTACTTCCGATATCAGTAAAGTATTTATTGAATTCATTCGGTTCACACAACGCAAAGTTTTCAAGAAACTAGCGATTTTTTTTATGGAACTTTTTTTTATAGAACAATTGTTCATTAAAATATTTCTCGTAACGAAAATAGTATTTCTACTATAATCAAAAGAATTAATTTAAAACAGCTTTAGTGTGAGAATAATTTGAAAAAATAAATGTCTACTTAATTATATTTTAAAAGGTTTAAAGGATTTTTCATCTAGTTGGCTTTTTTATTCTATTTCTCTCACTTTTAGAGATCAAATATCAGTAAAAAAGAGAGAAGCAGAAAGAAGACACTCACAAATAGCAACAAATATGAAATATATACAATTTACTGAAAATTAAACATTTTCAAAAATACTCAGTCATCCATCATATTTAAAAAATAATGTTTAAAAAAGTCACAATCGAATGTTATTCGGAGAAGACGATACTTTCAAAATTTCCAGGATTTTAATTTGATAGATAAAAAAGAAGCTCCAAAATTTAAAATAAACACGAAATGATTTCTATTGCAAATGAGACAAGAGCTAAAAGCATGTTAAAGACTATGGTATTTATCTAGATCAAATAAACAAACTTTCAAACGCAAAAGAGATTAATCACAAAGTAACATTTAGAAAACTAAAATATAAAATGGATGAATTTCGATAGTTTAACTTATCGAGATACGCGGAAGAGCTTTCAAAATGGGAACAAAAACGTTTTGTCGTTTTTGAATTAATAAAATTAGAAAAAAAAATTTGAAAAAAACGATACACTATATTAGTTGGTTATAGAATCTGCAAAAACAAATTACCATAATATAAATCTATATATGAAATGTCTTTCATCGCTTTAACCACGGCTTGATATGCATTTTTCCACAACCATTACAAAGCATGGTGCACAAGGAAGTATAGGTTACAATTTACTATTTAAAATGATTATTTATAATTTGCTGTGAGCCAAGTAAGTCCTTCATATAATCCATCACCTGTCGTTGCACAAGATGGTTGAACAAACCAATTGCGATCACGAATTTTTGTTAAACCTAATTTCTCTTGAATTTCGTGTGGTTTCATTGCTTAAAAAAAAATATGATCTGATATTATACTTTTTTAGAATAAAAAAAAACAAAAAAAAAAAACAAGAATAAAACAAATGTAAAAAAAAAAAGTTATAAAAGATAAGCTTTTTACCTTCTGGTAAATCTTGCTTATTAGCAAAAATAAGGATGATAGCATCCTTCATCTCACGATCATTTATTATTCTGTGCAGTTCTTGTCTTGCCTCTTCTATTCTATCTTTATCAGCACAATCAATAACAAATATTAGCCCTTGTGTGCCAGTATAATAATGTCGCCACAAGGGACGAATTTTATCCTGACCTCCAACATCCTTAAAAAATTACGATAGACAAATTAATTTCGAAAATATAATATAACAATACTTTTATTGTTAAAACTTTTTTGAAGTATCAAAATTAAGATTACATATGTCAAAAAAAATTTGTACAACTGATTTGTTTTAAAAAACATTTAATATAGTATAGTAAATCATTCTCTTTGATAGCCTTTTCATGTTTTAGTTTTATTCAATTAATTTCAATTTATTCAACTTTTTAACTTATTAACTTTTTTTACTTATTTAATATTTTTTAATTCTTTCGAAGATTTTGACAACTTCTTCTGACAATATATTGCATAATGGTGTAACTCTATTTGTTAAGAAGTTATGCCACTATTAACATTTTCTTTAACTCCACTATTAATAATTTCCCTGTCATATCTAAAACGGTCGTAGTATTTAGATTTTTCAAAAATTGTGGACTGACGAGCTCATTTTCATCTACTCTTTTTAATATTTTGAACATTTGAATTGTCTCCTCCAAGTCTTCTCTTTTCCAAAGTTATTAAACTAAGTTTGGCAAGACGTAAATTTTCTTCATATATAAAGTTTTTTAGATAAGGAGCTATTATAGTTATTTGTCTTAGCATTTTTTCCAGATTAACAATATCTCTTTTTATATTTGAAGACCAAACTAGAGCAACAAATTCAATATGTGGTCGCACAAATACTTTGTTCAGTACCTTTTTGCTGTGATGTGCAAAAGTTTTTTATTTGACCCAAGACTAAACTTTGAAGACTAAATTTGCTTTTGAAGAGAATGTTATTTGTTGCTTCCACTTCATGATCATTCATAAAATCCCAAATCTAAAATAGTCGTTTTAAGTTCTTTTTTTTTTTGCTTCATAATGTATCACAAGGCATTTATCAATATTAAAGGAACCATTTTTCAGTGTTTCACAGGAAGACGAGCGATCGCATTATATGACCAGGCAAATCACATTTTGCTTTGACAATTTGACCATGGCTATTTCAAAACAAAATTTCAAAAACATGCTGAACAAAAGTATTCTGAATTATAGCTTAGGTGAAATAAATTATATCGAAATTTCTTAACAAACTTTTTTATATTAGCTTATTTTATAATGTTTTTAAACAAAGTAACAATTAACTGATAATGATTTAAAAGTATCATTGACAGTTGTATATAATTTTTATAATTTATATATTATATAAATAATTGATATTTTTTATAATAAACGTTATTAATAATAAAAAATTATTTTGTTTTCATAAACAATGACTAAGACAATGAAAGTCTCTTTAACAAATTATAATATAAAATTCATAGAAGTTAATACATTTAAAAAGATAAAAAATTTTTTGTTAAAAATAAAAGACAAATGTTTTTGAAAGTTGTTACAATTAAATAAGTTTGATCTTTAATGCTTTTATATTATTGAAACACTTTTTAATGAAGTAACAAAACACTTCTAATGAGAATTAATTCACTTTTTTTTTATTTTAACAATTATATATTTTTTATGATAAATGTTAATATTTTGAAACAAATTAAAAAAAAACAAAGTAAAAATCTTAAAACAAAGAATGAAATGGTTTTTCAATGCATAATTATTTACTAGTTTACATCATATTTTTAAATTAGTAAAAAAAAAAAAAAAAAAAAAAAAAAAAAACTATAATTTAAATAAAGTGTGAGTATTTTTTAAACAATCATTAAAAGTAAATTGTTCTTTTTATTTTAAGGGTTTCCGATAATATTATATAAACATTAACTAAGATAAAAAATTACTTTAAACAATTTAAAACATGATTTAAATAAACTAATTTGTTGAGTTTAGTTTTAGCTAGGCTTTTTTTTTATTTTCTTTTTCATTAAGATTTTTTAAAAATAAGTTAGGGAAAATTTTTTTAGGGCATTTTTAAATTTTAAAAGTATGTTAAAAGCTGTGGTCAAATCATCAAAACAAAGTATTTTTTGCATGGTCATATAATTGCATGCGATTGCATGTCTTCCCGTGAAACACCGATTTTTTTAAGCAAACAACAGCTTCAACCAAATTAGCTTGAATCTTTTCTACTTTTTGGTATTTTTGACTGTTGTTATAATCTTTGTATCATCATCATAAAGTTTTGTTATATTTTGAAGGATTTCAGGGAAATCATTAACAAATATAAAAAATAACAATGGTGGAAGCATGGATTCTTGAGCTAGGCCACTCCAAACAATATTTCATGTATAGACAACATCACCTTGTTTGACTTTTGGCGTCTACTACTTATAGATGCTTTTGTCTTCTCTAAATATTTTAACACATATACCATACACTTTAACTTTAAATATTTCTCTAAGGAAACTTTACAAAATTCTTTTTATTTTTACACAATTGAGTTAAGTGACACTAATTTATAGTGCGAGGTTAAAAACTTGTCACTTTTCTTAAACAATAGTGTTAAATCTGCGGATTGAAATTGCAAACTTAAAAAAACAGTCCAGCCATAAAACAAATTTAATTCTTGTTTAAGAATTGCCCAAAAATGTTCATTAGGACAAGCTTCATGGATGCTTTTTGGATTTATGTATTTTGGTACCAGTGGTATCTTGTGCTTGTAGAAACATACATATTTACCATTGTGATGTTTCTAAATAAATAAAATCAAACGAGCAGTTGGTGCCATTTCAAAAACATCACCACATTGGATTATACACTCATTGTGTTAGTCATAATGCTTGACATTATTAGGTTGAAAAAAAAAGATGTGTTAATTTGTGGGCAGTAAAAAATATTAAAGAAAACAAAAATTTTGAAAATACTTTTAAATATCTTGAAAATAATATCAATATATTACAATTTATTTTCTAAATAATTAAAAAAATAAAAAGACTTAAAAAACTCACCCAAACATTGAATTTAACATTTTTATATGCAACAGTTTCAACATTAAAACCAACTGTAGGAATTGTTGTTACGGATTGTCCTAGTTTTAGTTTATATAAAATAGCTAAACATGTCAAGGTAAAAAGTATAAACATAAACCAGTGAATTTTTTGTTAAGTGGAATAAAGATAACAAATTATGATAACAATAATAACAAAATTTGTAAGACAAAAAATACAGTTTATATATAGGGATATTCTGAGATTATCAGATATGATGATTCTGAAAACACTTATTTATAATGTTGATAAGCATCCCTCCTAAATGTGTTTTAAATAAAAATATGAAACTAGATTTTGAAATGAGCAAATTAACATTATTTTTAGGTGTTACTATCAACTCTTTATTATTGAAATGGTCCCCCTTAATATGAAAAAACAGGTTTTTAAAAATTTTGTAATAAGAAAAAAAAAAAAAAAAAAAATTAAAATTAAAATTAATTTTAAATTAAAACTAAAATGTCTGAACTAATCAGCTGAAGGCTGTTTATTCTGGTTGAAATTAATATGATAGCAATTAGAAGCAGTGAGACTAGGGCTATAGCTCTTGACATTAAAAGCCTGGCATAATGTCTTTTTCATAAACTCTCTTCAAATGGAGTATCTGTGAATTTTCTTTAAATTGTTGAACCATTTTTTTCTAACCTCAATATCAAAACTGTATTTGATGGACAACACTCTTCTTTGTTACCAGTAACTTCAAGGGTACCACTAGATTTCATGTTTGGTATTGTGTTGATTTTCATCTATAATGATCTTTTTGATAGTCTTACTCACTGATGACACTATTAGTGCCAATAGCATAACTATATAAATCTTTATAAATCATATAGGCATTGCTCTAAAGATCTAGCAACTCTTGTGCCATATACTAAAGTTCATTCTCATGTCACTCATAATTTAATTAAGTCTCATCCTTTTTTTTGTGACTGTTCCTAAGTGTATATACTTATATACAAGAAACAATGATAAAGTTATATATGAAACAATAATAGTTTTTTTTTTTTTATTCAGAACTAATGTCCGCTTGTTTAAATTTAATCTACCTCATGCAAGTGGTACGTGATAAAAATTTGAAGCAGATTGGAGCATATTTAGTTTTATAAAAATATAATGATTAGTTAAATTATTTACAAATACCTTTAAAATTCTTTAGTATGATAATATATGAAACAAGGCACAACACACAAACCAACATCACAGTCTACAATAATTTTTTTTTATCTTACTTTGTTTTCAGAGTATACAGCACACCTTATACTAGGTTTGATAGTTTTCTCTGTAGCTGGAATAGTTTCATAAACATAAACATACATAAACAAATTCTATTTTTTCCCAATGATTTATTGTATTTTACTAAAGTCTCTTTAATAACTGATTCATAAACTGAGAGGGTGCCATATTAGATGATAACTTGTTTTTTTATAATAATTGCATTGAATGCACAAGCACTAAATAGGAGCATGAAAATCTTTCTATACCATTTTTTTTTACAACCATACATGCTTCTGTTTTATTCATGAATTACTAGAGGAATCTTTACCAGCTCTTTTAACAGTAGCTATTATCTGAATATTCTTCTAATAGTAGATTTTATCTGAAACAAAGGTACTCAGCATGTGTACATCTCTTATATCTCTCCATTTAGTACACATATTTTTTATCATATTGCACTAAAATATCACCGGTTGGAGGATTCTTAGAATTCTTTATATCTTGTAGCAACTGTTTGTGATTGATGCATAATGTACCAATACAACCAATATTATGTAGCAATATTTTGCAAATTTTATAAGATGTGTACCAGTTATCAATGTGCAAACAATGTTTAATTACTAAAATGTTTAATTACTGTTGATAACAAAATGAAGAAACTTCTCAATAAAAGCCTTCTGAGGAAAAGTGCGAGATTGAACGCTTTATCTGACCACACATATAATATTTTGCTTTAATATCTTGGCTGCAACACTTTGCAAGTTTTGATAATTTAGGTGTTTTGATAATTTAGGCGTTTTAAAAATGTGCTAGAAAAACAATTATAAAAATAAACAAACCATAAACTGAAAAGAGAAACAAAATCTTACCGAATGATAAAACAAATAAAAGATAAACTAGACAAAGTTAAAGCATAAAATTTTGCTTCAAAAAGTTTACTTTGCTCTACAATAAAATCAACAAGTTCATCAGTTACAAAAACTTCATAAAGTAAGAGGGCTACTACCAAATAAGCTTGAGGTCTTGGGTTTCTATTAAAATTTATAGAATTCATTGTCTAAAATGTATTCTGCTAATGGCATAACACCAATGTTATGCCATTATCAACAACATCAGTTTCTATATCATCATCTACTGATGATAATTTCTTTTTCTGTCACAGATTTTATTGATCCTTTCTGAAGAATTATCATCAGAACTAAAGTTAGATAAACCATCATCACTATCTCCCATATATTCAATAAGATCTTTAACAGGATATTTTCCTCTTATAGGAAAAGATTTTTTCACTAAATTTGTACAGTGTCAATTCGAGCCATATTTAAATAAAAATTAGAGTATATAACAAAGACCTTACTTCTGTTGAAAGGTACCAAATAAACAACAACTTTTTTAGACAATGATAATCTTTTAAATATATATAAAAAACTTTATATAAAAATCATTTAAGTTATTACACTCAAAAAGATTTTGGTCAACAAAAAAAAAAAAAAAAAGACAAATGTTTTTGAAACCCATTATAATTTAATAAATTTGATCTTTACTAATGTTTTTCTATCACTGAAATGGTTTTAACTAGAGTAAAAAAAAACACAGTTAATAGAATTTTTTCTAACTTTACTAAAGCCAATAATTTTTTTCTTTTTCTTTTTAGTACAAAAAGGTTTTTTGAACTTTTTCTTGTCTACTTCATTTTCTTAACAAAGCATTTCAAAGATTTAAATATTTTTTCTTTATTATGTATTACTTTCTACAAATAAATGTATGTTTAAAAAATATAAGTTTAAATAAGCATGAAATAGTTTTAAAAAGAGTTAAATTATCAATTTTTTTTAAATGCATATTTATTTACTAGCGTTTATTTGTATGGAATCTTTCTATTTTTAAATTAGCGAAAGAAACATAATTTGAATTAAATGTGTATATTTATTAAAAAATTTTTAAGACTTGTTACTTTAATTTCCTATATCAATATAAAAATAGTAAAAATAAAATATGTAGTTGTATGATGGCATGTAATCACATGCCTTCCTGACAAGACTGAACATGGGTTATATTAAGTGAACAAATAAAATACTAAAATTATGTCCGTATAAAAACATAAAAGCAAGTACAAAAAGTTTTAAAAGAACAGCCTCTTTAGTTAAATTTCTCCTTGTTTTTTTTAATTTTTTAAATAATCAAATATATTAAAACATTTGCTCAAACTTTTCCTCAAACAAAATTTCTTTGACTTTGACAGTATATAGATCTTTAACTTTATATTTATTAATTTTATTTAATATATTTATGAGTTACACTTTTTTTTGTTACACTTGATTTTATTTTTGTATTTATGCTGGTAAAGAATGGTTTTAATTTGATTATCTAAAGGAATGTAATTTATATTTTTAAATCTTTAATCAACATGAACATTCTTCACAAAGTGACAAAAAATAAGATGATCAGCAAATTATAGAGATAAAATGAGATTTTTACAGAGAAAAATTAATATAATGAATAAACTTGTCAAATTGAAAACTTAATATCTAGAAAACATCCTAGATGTAAAATGAAAAGATACTTGTTTTTCCAGCAGCATCTAAGCCTAGCATAAGAATTCGCATCTCTTTATTGCCAAAAAGTTTCGAAAGAACTTTCCCCATTTCTAAAATTCTAAAAGCAAAAAAAGTATTAAGAAAGTATAATATAGCAAATTATTAAGAAATGAAATAAGTTGCTTCTTTAAAATTAGCAAAT